GGAGTGCCTGTGGGAAAACTATGGGCTTTAGAGAAACAAGCAGAAGGGACTGTAACTGAAGTTACTATTATTTACTTGAAATGCCAGGGATTTTTATTCTCTCTAATGACAAAATGATCATACTTAATGACCACAATCATTTCATTTATATTTAACAGTGATAGTTGACAAAGACTGGCAAAGCATGGCAGAGAACCAAGTTCACGTGACTCTCTGCCTGAACTGCCAGCAGAGAGGGCTCAGTTATTAAGATCAGTCTTGCCATTTTCTTGACGTGTATCTTCCCTGTATTCTATAATTCAAATTACTTGTTCAAAATGCAAGACAGTCCTCTTGCAACAGGAACGGGCAGGACAGGGCACAAGCAGTATCAAGCAAGAGCTAGGGATGTATTAGCAGGGAAAGCAATCCCTGGGGGGACGCAGACAGGAGCAGGAGAGGATATGGGGTCAGGCACAGCAGGATCTAACTGCTGCAGAACACCTCTCTCAAGACATGGGTAGTAAGTCCTTGCTCCCAAATATTCCACAATGTCTAAAACATCTAACCCACTGACAAAGTGTGGGTCTCTATCTCCCTCTTCTGTTAATACCACGTAGACTCTAACAATGCTGTCCTGCCACTAGTTATTTCACAAACTTGAGAAGACAGCTGTGCTCTTACCCTAAGGTTCCTCAACCCTACAGATTGTCTCTGTAAGGATTAATATAGTTGCACCTCAAAAACCCTATTTAAGAGAGCAGTCCGTCTTCGAAGTCAGAATCTTGCAGAAGCAGCAAATGCCAGAGGTCAGTCAACTACGTAACATTCCTTTGGTCTCCTGGAGTTTAATTTATTTACCTTTAATCGTATGAAACCACATAGGCTGAGATATGGAGTCCTCTATAATCAACGGAGAGAGAAAGGCACCTTCAGAACACAATTTTATCCCAAAAAGATGCATCTCTTTTCATTGAATAGAGTGATTCCAGACAACCACATCAGACCAGTCATGTAAATTTTAGCTGGCTAAGGTTGCACGCTAAGATGAATCTCATGCCCTATACTCAAATGTTATGATTAAGTTTTGATTTACATGACCTAATTATATGGTACTGTTTCCAAAAGAGTATCTGGCTCATTCCATGTCCGGAACAGACTTACTTTTTTTTTTTTCTTCATTAAACAAGTTAGTGTATTAAAGTTATGTACCAGCACTAAGAGAGTTGGTACCATTTACCCTCTTTGCTTTAATCTCTGTACCTTGGTGCCCATGTGTGCAATGCTGAATGTACTACCTAATGTTACTAAGCAGGTTATGAAGATAAAAATCTAAAATAGATCTAAAACACAGCATTACAAGCATTATGAAAAACCTCATGAAGAAATTAATATTCTGTGGTCAGTACAAGATAAATAAAGGGCAAATAAAGCCTGGGGCTCCATGTGTGACTGAGGATAATAAAGAAACACTATATGTGCACTGCTGGAGACACAGGGATCTTTTGGACAAACTAACAAGTCCATGAACCTCGGCAATAATGAAACCCGATTTCCTACGGATTTTGGTCTTGCAGTGACTTAAATTGGATCTCCGCAATCCAAGCTCCAGCTGGAGTGGCTGGTTGAAACATTTTTCAGTCTCTCTGTGTAGTCATCTCTGTCTAATACTGTATGAACTCATGCTGGAGACTTTCCTTCTGCAGAGTACTCTGCCTCTCCTCCACCCAGCACCTTATTTTCAAGGAACTCCTCAGGAGCTCAACTATCTTTTTGTTTGACCTGTCAAATTTGTTTAAAACGAGCTAGCAAGTTCCAAAGGTACTTTAGGAGCAAAGGAATTGGACACACATTGTAATCTCAAAAATCTTCTTGCCATAGGAGAGGAAGGTAAAGAGATCAAGGAAGGACAGAATTGACACCTGCTACTTCTGAATGTTCATCTCAAATGACATCCAGCTATTAAACGTTAAATGTTACTCTCAACAGCACAGGGAAAGTTCTTAAATGGATTTTGACTGTTTTCTGCTCAGCAGATACGTGTTTGTTTAATATTATATTAAAACAATCTTAGGAGTCAATGACTTCTGGGAGGTAGGCAGAACATAAGTCTTGGTTAGTTTTATAGCAGTCTTCAGAAAGGGGTAAAAACGTCTTTTTTTGTTCTTGTTGAATACTGTTTCCCTCCTTTTGCTCCTAGTTTAGAAAAATACCAACCACCACACCCACAAAGACAGAAATACAAAGGCTTGTAAATTTTTTTTTAAAAAGCTAGTCGAGAAGAGTACTGCTCGTCAGCCATGAAACCAAACAACACGAAAGTGCAAATACTAACTGCATTCTGGGTGGTATTTTTTTTTGTTTTGGTTGTTTTTTGAGGACTGGCTCACAAGTACAAATAGTTCACTGGCAACCAGAAGCATTGTTAAGGAACAGCTACCATCTATTAATGAACAGGTTTAGGCATATCTGAGACTCATAAGAATTGTGGATAAATAAAATACTGGTGTTATTTGTCAACATGTCTAAGCAAACCTCTGGAATAAGCTGTGTCATTACCATTAATTGCCACTGCAGCCTTTCGAATACAATCAAATCAGTTATTATTATCTGGTTGGTTTGAAAATTGTGAGTTCTCAAAAATATGGCATGACTCCTTAGCTGTTACCAATGTAAGCTGTCAAATAACATCTGCTTGTTGTAATGAGACTACTACCCCTGTAAATTAGAGCTGTAGGATTGAGACCCAGCATAGAATGGCTGAGATGATAAATATCTGAAAGATCAAGCAGCACTTCAGTTATCTGAATCGCTGGGATACAGAAGTCGTCTCTCTCCCTTAAGCTCACTACAAGTAAAACCACAAAAGAAGAGATAGGAAAATGCAGCACAAAATAACAACAATACAAACTTGTCTTTTTTTTTAATGTCTGACACATTTTAATGTGTGTTTTTCCCAATCCTCCACTGAACCACATCTTGTTCTAAATTTCAAGAGAATCAAGAAGCTCATTACTTCTGTATGAGCTCTATAACTCTGGACATTGATCTTCCCCATCCACAGGACTGTTTTCTGTAGATTTAGTTAATAATGAAATGCCCGTAGTGAACAAAGAGTGTATATAAAAAATCCCTAGATTTCCTCAGATTAATACAGCCTACTGCAATGCATCTGAAAATGGTTTACTGTCTCCCAGCCTGCCCTGCCTATCTATCTTACTTCTGAATGACCTCCATATACTTCCCAAAAGCATGGCCATGATAGACTTTTCTAGGGAGTTCCTTAAAACAAGTTTCCTCTCTGGGACTGGTAAAGCAATGACATACTTCCACTGAAGCACCTGATCAGTCTGGGATAGCTGGTCCTATTGCAGAAGTAAGGGAGGCCCAATATCCTGCTACCTCAGACATAGGTGTCTTGGGCCACAACACTGCAAAGCTGTTATCTCCTTTTTACAATCAGCAAGTACATATTTTACCACTACAGAATGGATGTACGACTGAAGCGATCTCAGACTGGCATCTATCATGTCATTTTTCACAGCTACTAGTCACACTTCCTACTACATTTTCCCTTCTCCAAAATTTCATCAGTTAGAGGAAGTTAAAATTCAAGTACTACATTCAGATTTCACAGTTTTGTGAACAAGCAAATTATTTTGTCGAACCTGAAAACCATGATGAAACTGTATTGTAGATTTTTTTTTTCACTGTGAACTCTTTCTTATTAGGCCAGTGGCAAAACCAATTGGGCTAAAGGAGCCTTGTTTAAATCAACAAATGTGTTTCACTGAAAATGGCAAATTATCCACCAAAGTAATGGTACGTCATGCCCCATCAGGGATTGCAAACATTTCTAGATAAGGTGAAATGTTACTACAGACAAACTTGACAAGTTCTCATGGACATATTTTCCAAACACACATACATGCACAGAGTGTACCGCTGTATTCTCAAGCAGTTCTAATTAAAGCCGTGCAGTAATATAACATTTTCAACATGGCCTGAATTTGTTTGCATGTCCACACTACAAAACCCATGAATTTTCATGAAGCTGAATAGGAAAACTAAAGTTCCACTTGAAGTAAAATAAGTGGAGAGAATCTTCATGTGAGAAATAGCCAAACATCATTTCTGCACGCTGCAGAGAATTCTCTCAGATCTTACCCAAATGCACCATGCAGAAATGCTCGCTTCACACATATTTGTCTTTGCAGCAGTTATGATCATAGTTACTGTTTTGTAGTTTTAATGCTTCATACTAACAAACGTATTCTCTATTTACAGTAGACAATGTCTTTTTCATTTACAAGAAAATCAGAGTTACTTTATTTGAGACTTTTTGCCAACTATTCAGGGACCTGACATTATCGTCCTGTTCTAAATGATATTTGACTGTTGAGTTGCTGAGCTTCATCTTCATGCTAAAGGGATCAAAAGCTTTTTTTTTTCCTCCCCCAAAATAACCAACTACAACTTGTATTATTGTATAATACGACAGGACCTTGATTTAGAAGCAGTCCAACCCTGAGCTATTATTCTGACCACCCCCTGTGGCTACTTAATCAAAACACTGCAACTTGTGACTTTGTCCGTAATTTTGCTCATTTATCTTTATTATGACTTCAAGAGTATTCGGAATGGAAGGTTAGTTTTGTATAACTAATATTGGTGATGAATGGCAATGATAATGCATTGCATGAAGAACATCCATTAATGTCTAAAATAATATTCTACTGTCTAAAAATAAATTGCGATGCAAAACATTTTCAGAGCTAATTAACAATAATTCAGTCCTACAAAAGTATTGCAACTCTGAGGAGTAAGGACATTTAAGCCAACACACTAGAGGTAGCTAGAGATGCTGACTCTGACAGCTACAATATTGATTCTACCACTAATTAACTCAAATCTTTAGGTCCCAGTAACTTCAAAAGCAGTAGCGTAAATCATCCAAACAAACAGCTATGAACTTTGGATAAAAAATTTCATTGCTGAACATGAAAGGTCTGCTCATTCCATCAGCGTGCAGCATCTTCACAGTATGCATATTCTGCAGAAACCTACAGGAAAAAGGAATCTTCCTGGCTCAGAAGTGGAACTACTCTAGAGCTGTTAACCTCTCCCTTGAAGAAAAGTGTGGGAAGGAAAGCCACAAATGCAGTTTTCCTGAATTTTCACCTTCTCTCTGAACTGTATTTTACCTGCTTCCCTCTTCTGTTGTTCTCTTCTCCCGCAATTCTTCTCCCCCACGTTCCTCCTCTGTATGTCTACAGCTACAGGATCCCCCCAAAATATTAACTCTATAATGCAAAACCAGCACTAGCATGCTTTGCTAAACCTCTTCTGTATTTACAGCCTTGTTTACCCAACCTGTCAAGAAAAATGTCCCATTTTCTTTCTACTTAGAAAAGGAGCCTACCTTTTCCAGTATTTCCTGAGTCAAGAGTGAGAATGCATCCTCAATGTTCACATTATCTTTAGCACTGGTTTCAAAAAAGGGTATTCCATGTTCCCAAGCAAGCTGAAAAACAAATGTAGGCAATGGGATGAACAGTCTTTGGGAAAAAAGCGCTTCCTAATGAAGATATGGAGAGATACGGAGGTGTTCTGACAGCTTCTAACATGCTATATAAACACTGATTAAGTAAATGTCAGTTCAGTAAAGTACTCTGTATTCATCCTCAGTTTATAAATTTCAGGTAACTCTTAAAACATCCTTCTTAAATTTCTGCATTTTCAAAACAGCTTTTTTAACCTATCTTTACTTGTAAATAAGAAGAATAAACTCTAGTGGGTCTGTTCTCAATGTTTTGATCTACTTAGAAAATGAACTGTCTCCTAGGCAATTATTTAGAGGAAACTAATGGAGTGCCTGCAGAAAAGTGTAGATAAAAATGTGACAAAAACTGTAGAAAGAGAGGCATGATGAAATACAAAAAAAGAGATGCTCCTTTTTACCAGAGAGAGAGAAGCACAGATAACAGGCAAGAAGGAACAGATATGTGTGCGAAAATATTTTATGGTAAGAAGAGAGAAAATACTTCAAAGAAAAGGGCAGCGTAGCTTTTACATTGGTTGATTTTGTTTAATTTACTCATGTTCTCTCATTTCCAGTGTATTTCCCTTACAGATAGCTTAGAGATATGTTGGCATGAGGGGAAAAAAAAAACCAAACAACAAAATCCATAGCTTTTTAAGGTCCTAAACTTTTTCTAATTTATACAGTTAAATACATGGAGAAAAACAGGTGCATCATTGCCTCCCAAAGGAGGTGGCCAAGGTGGGAATAACATCTGCCAGAAAAACACAGTGGGAGAATCTATTTATTCCCTTTGCAATGGATCCCTTCTCGGTACACATCTGGAGAATATGATCCCAGGCAAAGAAAATACCCTACTGCTTATAATATACAGAAAATCCTATCATTACTAACCACTTAATGATTTATCTGGAAGGCTCCTCATTAGGATAAAAAGTCTAATGTTGCCAGTATGTTTTCTTTCAATGAGCTCTACAAGTAACAAATTAATGCTTTACAAAAACTCCAAAAGCACGCATGAAGGTACAAGAATTGGACTTCAAAGTTTTAGTCAACATACAATGAAGATTTTATTAAAGGTAGAAAAAAAAAGTAAGCAAAATGGTTTCTTTTCCAAAATGCTATAAGAACATGTAATTTTAAAAATAAAGATGAGATCTGGACTGTTTCCTAAGACAGACTGCTTCATAAGGGATTCTAAAACTCCAGCTGACTGCTATGAACTGTTTTCGGTACTGCAGCAACTTGTTACGGGAAGTTAAGATCATATGACTATTGGCAAATGTCAATGACAGTGATGCATAATGGTACCTTAAGAAAAATACAGGCAATAAAAAATACTGGTCTCGTAAAGGGGAGAACACTGGTTTGCAACTTATAAAGTACACAGAATCTACTATTAAATATTCCTTTTTTACTTTTTTGTGTCATGTAGTAGATTCCTAGAGGCTACCTACGCACAAACTCTGATGAACACAAACCTTTTAATCATGGAATCACAGAAATCATTTGGAAAGATAACCCGACTTGAAATGGGACTACTGCCCATACAGTACAGGGTCAGCCATAGCCTTGCCCACCTAAGTCTTGAAATCCGCCAACGATGGAGATTCTATAACCTTTATGGGACCGTCTTCCATGGCTACATCACCCTTCTAATGCAACTGGTTCTCCTTATCTCCAACCCGAACCTCCCAAGCCAGGACTTGTGTCTGCCACCCCTTGCTTTATTGTCTGCCTCTACTGAGAAGAGTCTATTTCTGTCATTCCTCTAACTACACTTCAATTGCTGTAGACCAGTAACTGCTCCTTGGCCTCCTCCTTACGCAGCTCCCTCAGTTCTCCTCATGGATTACTGGTAATAGACCCCAATCATCTTTGTAGCTGTCTGCTGGACCCTTTGCAGTTTCTCAACACCCTTCTTGAAATGAGAGTGCCAAAGCGGGACACAATATTCCTTGTGGCCTTGCCAGCACTAAGCAGAGCGGGTAATAATCTCCCCAGATCTACCAGCCATTATCCTTCTAATGCAGCCCAGCATGCTTTTAAGCAATGAGAGAACACTGTTGACTTATATGCAAGCTGGTGTTCATTGTAACCCACCAGTCCTTTGCAGCAGGGCAGCGACTCATGCCTGGGATTATTCCATCCCCAGTGTAAATCTTTGCACTGCTTACTGGATTTCATGATGTTTCTGTTGGCCCAGTTCTCAAGTTTATCAAGGTCCCACAGAATTGGTATTCTCCTACTCAGTGTGCCAGTCACACCCCTTAACCTCAGGTCACATGCAAATCTCCTTGTATCATCAGCCAGATCACTGATGAAGATGTTGAACAACGTGAGCCCCAGTACACACCTCTGATGTGCTCTCCTCATTACTATCTAACAACCAGACACACAGCCTTCGATCGCTACCCTTTGCCTCTGATAGTCCAGCCAATTTTTAGTCCACCTAATGGTCCACTCGTCCAGCCCACATCTCCTAGCTTCCAAGTGAGGATGCCATGGGAGAGGGTGACAAAAGCCTTATTAAATTCAAGATGTATCACAACCACCGCTCCTCCCTTGTTAACACAGTCATTTCCTGGCATCATAGAAGGCAACCAGGGTGGTGAAGCACAATTTGCCCTGTGCTGACTACTCCAGATTATCTTTGTGTCCTTTATGTCCTTGGAAAAGCATGACAACATGCTCCACAATCCCTCCACCGACTGAAGCAAGGCTGACTGACTGTAGTTCCCTGAACCCTCTTCCTTGCCTTTTTTAAAGATAGGTACCATGCTGCAAAGTCCTCTAGAAAGATGGAAAAATGCAACAGTCCAGTGTTAAAGCAGTTGGAAGTATGAACACAGCTTTGGCTACTCCCTCTCATAAAGAAACTGGAAAGGCACATTCAAACGTTACTTTAAAATAAAATAAAATAAAATAAAATGCCTAAATAAATTTACAAACCTATGGGAAGTATTCTATACTATTGGGAAATGTTATTTTATATTATCCTTGAGAACAGTTTGGAGATCTTGAGTGAAATAAGCTCATATCTTACATACAATAACAAAATAAATAATGCCAGTATCTCTTCCAAGGTGAAATTTAATTCCAATTGTTCATTTCTTTTACCTCAAAATATACTACTTCCTAGCAAAGTGCTGCTATGATTTCTTAGTGTTGAATCAGAGATGTGTCTGAAATATTCCTAGAACTGTGCAGAATTTTTTTTCCGTTTTGTACCCTTAAAATCAGTTTTGAAGTCAGGAACATGAAGACAGCAAAAGCAAAAAAAGGAAGAATATTTTACTTGGCTCCTTCTGTTAGAAGGATTTGATAGGAGAAAACCAGCCACATTCTACCAAGTCATATAACCTTCAACATTTTTATTTTTCAGAGAAAAAGATAATGTTGGGGGGGGCAGGGGGGGGGAGAATCCAAGAAGGTTGAGTTCAAACTTTTCTCAATGTGAATAAAAAGCTACTAATACAAGAAAATACTTCGTAGTGTTAAAATTAAATATATCAATTTCTGAGTGATCAAAATTATATAATTACAAACCAAAACAAACAAAAAAATTCCCAGCATTAAATTAGTCTATGAAGTGGCATACAATGGCCACTCACTTATGACAGATTGTTACAGAAATGCCAACATAGATGACAAGATTCTCAGGGAACCTAGGGGTCTTCTCTGCAAGACTCTAAACAGAACAATACTTACAGCTCATACTCACAGGGTAATATGAAATATGCAAGTATGAATTATTATGTGGTAGAATTAGTATCAAACTATTTTCCCCTCTTAATAAGGATATTTTCTTCTTTGGAGTGAGAAGACAATTATTAGCTCACTCTCTGCTAATGGAATCTTTCTTCATCTGGTTCAGTCAGATCCTTTAGTGTTTGTAAATCACATTAAAAGAAGAAATAGTATAACCGAAGAGTTGCCTTGCCTCAAAAGACAGGAGAAATCTAGAAAGCAGACTCATTGGTGAGGAGGTAATGATTTGTTTCTGAAGAAAATGCTACATTAAGAGAAATTTTGATTGCATGGTTAAGGACACAGAAGTCAGAAAATGTCACAGTTAATACCATATGCAAAACCCTACTACTGCCCTCTTGTGCACATGCATCCAGTGACTCCAGATTTCTGACAGTGCATTCTTTGAGTGAGAGTATACATGTATTTTTCAGCAACCTTCTTCCTTGTACACAGATACAGTACATTAACATTGAAAAGTGTCTTGCATACGAACAACGAACTTCCAAAAGTTTCTATTTCTAATGCTGTTGAAAAGGTGATGCTATTTTTTAACATTCCCTAATCTGGGATTATATAATTGGCAAGAAATTATGAGTGTTCTTTTCTTTAAACACAGGACATCCTGCCTGACTCACCATGCCTGAAAGCATAACAGAAGGGTTCATTCCAAGTTCCAGACAACAGATGCATACAGTTTACAGTTGCAAAATTTACTGGTATAGAGGACATGCTCTCCTGTAACATTTAGTCACTATCACAATTTCTTCTGCCATAGCAGGGCTCCTGGATTTCTTCATTGGTTCTCAGCGACAGTAATTTGCCATCGCCTTTAAAACAGCACTCCCCACTTAACTCCAGTTCTTCCCCTACACATGGTCAGCAGGTATAAACTATACTGTAGTCTCAGCTGTATGACACATACACAGTTAGATTTAGGGGGGACTGGATGTTCCCTAAATGTATCTGTCTAGCATTATTTAGGGCTATTAGTAGACAATGCAGATCACTGTGCACAGGCTGCCAGAATAGTTCTTTATAGTCAGGCTGTAGCAAAAAAAAAATCAATGATGGGTGGTACCAGAAAAATGATGCAGAATGTATTATGCATTATATCTTAGTATTCCACATTAAAACAGTACTCTGAAAATGCAGAGTCTAAAATATTTTTAGTTTTAACTCAAAATACAAGATTTCTATTGTAACACCTAAAACTTTTAAAGTGCACTTTAACCTTTAAAATAAAAATCAGTATTCTAAAGAGATCAGCTAGGAGTTACTTATGTATCTCAGCTCATATGTTAAAAGAAACCAAACACTCCAGAACTCCACAACTGTTCCTCTGGAGCAATTCCTAATACAATTTTTGGAATTCAGGAACTTTTTATCATTTTCAGTGTAACACCTTGTAGTCACACACTAAGATACTCAGGAGAACCCAAAGAAAGTACCAATGATACCTTTTCTCCTTTCTGTTTTGGTACTACACGTTCTGACTCCTTATCACACTTGTTGCCCAACAGTATTACATCCACTTCATCACCTGCTTTCTGAAAGAGAACCAGCATTAATAAGTGTCAAGTAAGAAAAAAGCAAACAACAAAAGCCCTTCGCCTTCAGCTCACACTAACCTTCAACACTTTATTTCCTTGAAAGTAAAGGCTAAATTCTGTCCGACCTTTTCATATGTGGAAATATTTTCCATCAGTTACTGGGATTTGGAGGAAAACAACAAGATTGCAAAGAGCAGAAAAAAGCCACTTACAAATGCAGGGCATAATTTCCAACCCCTTTCATAAGGTATGAAGTACATGGTGCATGGGCACCATCTTCTGATGAATGCTCCACCTTGAGGCTTTAAAGTGACAGGAAATGCCCTGAATTCACAGACACTGCCCTCCCTAAAGTACTGGGTTCATGGATTAGCATATGAGTCAGGTCTACATCCAGCACTTACAAGTAAAAAGGAAGGAATTTGCTGCACCCGAAAAATCACCTCTCTGTGCTTCACTTTTGCACACAGACAGTAAAATTACATTAACAGTGTTCAAACTCAACATAAACGTTTGATTATTCCAAGACACTCGGAAGACAGCAAGAGATTTTTAATGAAGTGAAATTTAAAAACCTCACTTATTTCAAAAGGAAGAAAAATCTAGCTTTTTGACCTTGTCTCCATCCTTCGTTCCACTAATCCAGCTACGTACATGGTGACTGTGAAATGCACTGGGTGCTTTACCTCAGTGTTATTTTAAGATAAGCCATTGTAACTATACATGACTGGAATAATGACAAGGAAAGGGAACAGTTCTGCAACAACACCTGGAAACTGAAAACTGGCATTTGTTGTGAAAATTCTAATATTTAAGCCCACTTTTGGTGCTTAAACGGAGGAAACTGAGGGTCTCAATCTAGAGACAATTAAAACTAACATGGTCTGATCCCATGGCTTATATTCTCAAAGTATATGCTCACACAGCTTCTCTTGAGGAGTCAAAAAGCCTGGTCTCAGGCTGCAGGTCTCTCTACAAGGACATTGATGGAATCTCTGATCTCTGTCAAAGTCTTAATTTTTATAACTTTGCCATAAGACAAAAATCAGACACAATCCTCTTCCCCAGAGCTCACATGCATGCACATGGATACATGTCCCTCTCTTCAGAGAAATGCAAAGAAAATCCTCTATTCATTAAAGGATGAGAGAATCATTATTTTTAGTCTATTTGCACTTTTACAACTAAGTTGTCTTATTTAAAGAGTAGAGCAGTAAGCACAATTTATTACTAAGGAACTCTATTTCATTTTTTGTAATCCACTCTCATTTTAGCATCAGCTAATCTCATTTCATACCCACCACTGATGTTCAAGGTAATGTAGTATTAAAATGAAGTAAGCTCAACATAAGAGTACAAAGTACAGGCCTAAAATAATGAATCAATCTAACCTGGATTAATAGACCAAAATGTTGGCTGTTTCAGAATGCATTGGAGCTTTACTCATTAAGGTCAATGGCTCTCCTACATAAACTCACATACATCAGTCCCTAAAATACAGTAAACAGACAATTTAATCTCATCACATAATCAACTTTTTATTTGGAAGAGGACTGTACGTAGCTGAAGTGACATTTGACTTTACTCTGAAGTAAAAGGTCAATGGGAAATACTTGCATACTGTATGTACAAAACCATTAAATTCATCCTGTAACTGTAACTTTATTTCTGTACAAACAGCACAAATTTTTGCAATAGGAATGTTCTTTCTAAACAGCTTCAAATAATAACAAAATTTAGAGGAGGTCAGAGGTGCCATGCCTTTCAGTAAGTATTTATCATTATTACCAATCACTAAGTATTTATTTCAGCAAATAACTATTATTTCTACATCAATGTAATGTAATAATGTATTTTCACTTTGACTGGATCCTCCACCAAAGCACTGAAACTACTTCTTTTTAAAGATGGTATCTTGCAGTTTCTTGTTTTTAGAAAACTAAAGACTATACACCAAAATGGCATCCACTTTAAATTCTGAAAACTGATTATGTAGATGAAGTCTTAAAAAATTAAGTCAATATGACTAGGCAGAAGTTTGACCATGTGCTCAGTTGGCATAAAAACTGCAGAGGTACACTGATTTGAATTAGCCAAAAATATGGCTCTTCAGTGCTTCCAAAAGCTCACTGTGTATTTATAGCTCAGGAATAAGCTTTCCAAATGCAAAATCTGTAGCTAAAAAGAGGATGGTTATTTTACAGTTGTTAAGATGCTATTATGCAAGTCAGCACTGACTAAGCTAATAGAGTCAGGAAACATTTTTTTCCTGTGTCATGGAAAAATACTATTAAAAATTTCATCAATTTCATCAAGGTAAAAAGGAAATTGTTTTTTTGAGAAGTAAAAAAAAAAAAGTGTTTTGCTTTGGTATCTCAAAAATACATTCAGATTTTTGGTTCACTCTCTCTAGTTTTTCTTCTGGTTTTAACATTTCAAAGTTCACTTTTTACTGAAACTTAAAATAATCTGAACTTGGAGAAAACCTAGCCTGTTTTTGTTTGTTTTTTTTTTTTTTTTAAATGTCCAAAAAGGAAATACCAGCACTACATTTCTCTCAAAAAATTGAAGCCGAGAGATTTATTGAGACTGACCAAGTTTTCTGAAGTGTTTGGCAGAGCTTGGAGTCATCAGGGTTTGGCAAAAAGGTTTTTGCCCCACTGGATTCCCTGGCAGCTGGATCCAGCAGCAGCAGGAGCCAGGCTGCTGAGATCGCTGGCCACAGGAGGGAGCAGCGCCAGAGCCTCAAAGGCAGCGGTGCCACGGACCGGACTCGGAACACTGGACTCTCGCACCGTACTACCATGGTGTGCTTTAGCAGCCTACTCTGATAGGAGCCATCCATCCGTGCCCTTCACTAATTACCCGACTGCTCAACTTTCACCTAGCCTGTGCACCCAACAAGGTAAATACCCAACTCGCTGCTTGACTATGTGACTATTAACAGAAGTCAAAAATGCAAAAGGGAAGATACCTTGCTCATCCCTTTTGTATGTAATTCGTTTTTTTTTTTTTTTAAATGTTAGGGGTTTTTTTTGCAGTGGTTCTCATTTTGCAGGGAAACTATTTCACAGAGGTGCTGTGAACTCATGTGAGTATCGACAGCAGCAGAGACACCCTTACTGAAAGAGAACTACGTCACATTTGTACTTACAGGTTATTGGAAGAAACTATCCCTTCGCTTTTTAAATGGTGAGCACAGACCCTACCGTGAATGACGGACCTCAACCTCCCCTGCAGCAAACTAACTGTGATTACCAGCTCATGTAGATTCCTTCTTGCATAAAGCTATGTATGCAGTCATAGATCTTAAAGAACCGCCACCTTGTCCCTCCACCACATTTCCAGGGTGTAGCTGTGCAGAGGGCTGCATGACTTTGATACTCATGGATTACAGTTTGAAAAGGGAACAGTAGTTTGTAGGTCCAAACAGTGAAATCGAGAAACCATATGTGATAAATACACTATGGTAATACTTAATTAGTTTGTATTTGACGAAGAAATGTAGCGCTAATATAATTTTTCAGATCTGAAGAGGATACACATCATCATGCAGCAAAATGAAGGCAGAGCTGGGGAAGGCCATAAAGCTGGGAAGTTTCTTCTTCCTACTCACTAGACAAATGACACTAGAAACTTACCCTTTGTATTAATGAAGAGTACTTTGTTAGGAATACATTGCCCTCATAGTCTCTTTGACAGCATCACATGGGCAGTGTTCATATTATGATTCCCATACATATCTCTTTCCATACATTTTTCTAAGTGCCACCTTATGACCTCAGTTTGTCTAGTTTCCAGGACTTCAGTGGAAATAGATAAATGATAGAATTTGTCTATTAGTAAACTTAGACACAACTAGATATAAACCAATTTATCCTGAAAACAATCTGGGATTAGAGAGAAACCAATTTAGTAAAGTGACAAGAACAAGAATTTTCAGTTCTAATCAGAGCCATAACAACAAACCCATCTATGAACTGGAACAATTTGATCCTTTTGACATCAAGCTTTCCCATCTGAGGAAGAAAAACCTCAGAAGAGTTTGAAGCCAAACTAATTTACATTTGTAAAGCAGTTTGCTGTGCTGTTTTTATTTAAGTATGATGCAGAAACACTGAAAGACATTCCAGTATCCCAACTCTCAGATGCATCAAATGAACAGAACTGGAGAAGGGCACTATGCAAAAATGGCAGTAACCCCGCACACCCATACATTTCATATCCTGGCTGAGGGGTCACTTCTTCAGGTAGTACAAACAGAAAGCTCATGTATTCCAAGAACACTAAATTCTGTCACCAAGACTTGCTACTGCATGAGAAAATGAATTTATCTTCCCCATGCAGAAAATTCTGTGCTAGCAGAGGATTTCCAGCATGAAGATAATTGTTAGGAACTGGTAATGCCACCTTTATGGCCACACCAGGAGACTAGCACAATGAAAACCAGTCCAACGTATTTAAGAGAAAAATCGGACCTACTGTCTATGTCAAAAGTTTTTGGAGACCCAGATGCCATGCATGAATCATGGAGTAATTTAGGTTGGCAAGGACTTCTGGAAGTCATTAGGTCTAAGCCCCTGCTCGAAGTTGGGCCAACTTCAAAGTCAGGTCAGGTTGCTGAAGGCCCTGTTGAATTGATTTTTAAGTATCTCCAGATCCTCTCTGGGCATCTGTTTGAGCATCTGACACTCTATTGTGAGGGACTTTTTGCCAATACATTACCTGGAATCTTGTTCCAAACATCCTGGAAAGAACTGTTTTCTCCAAATGGATTTGGTACACAGTTACTTGTATTTAATTTTTAAAGGACAAACAGAATCAGCCTTTCAGAACAGCTGCATACAATAGCTAAAAGCCATGTCAGCAGACAAGAACACCACCTTAATAAATTGGACATGACCTGCAATCCTACAAATAAAGAATGGTTTCAGGTTCTAAAGTAATTTTCCTGCAATTATCATGCTCCTAATGAGTGCATGACAAATCCAGTATACTGGTACTGGATTTGCCAATAATGTCCTAAGACACTAATCTGTGAGTATATTTTTCTAGTAAGCATTTAAGTAGTCATATTACTTAGTTTCCTCTGGTTCTGAATACAAATTTTACAACAATACAGATAAGGCAGCATATTTGTGTCTTGAACTTCCTTGAACAATAAGTCATTTTTAATAGGAAAGTTGCTGTATTCCGCACTTTAACTAATTGAAATACAATGACAACATTACTGGTAATCTGATTGTAATAGCACTGACTGGCCAGTTTTTATAAAATCAATGGAGTTTTTAGGAATGCTAAATTGCTTAGATTGTTATTTTCGACTGTTGTAAAAATGGCTTAGCACACTGAACAGATTTTTAAAAAGCTTTCTGTTTAAAATCTCTATGTACAAAGAATTAAAAAATGAAAGCGCAATGTAATAACTGAATTGTCTCAAAAAATCCTGTTTGATTGGTTCAGGTGCAAGCTTTACATTACCTATTAGTCTGGTGTTAATGAAGCCTGTGTCTGTTTCCCTTTTTAAATTTTATTTAATTTTTCTACACTTGCATATTTTAAAGGGCACTATAGCAAAAGCCACTTTGATACTGGGCATTTGTGGGGAGTTTGCATTCACAGACCAAAGTAAATGCAGGGAATGTCACCAACCTCCAGTAAGTAATTAATTTCCATGAAATGCCCTGGTTTTTAACAGTTATTGCTTAAAAACACTTCTTTTGCAATGAATGGCCCCATATATTTTCACCAAGACACTTCAGAAATTGATATCCTACTAGGACTAAATTAAATTTTTTATTATTATCTAGCTCTATTACAACACTCACTAATTGCTAGTTTTGAGATTGGTACAATCAATCATGCAGTTTACATTCCCAGAAATTGTTTTAAATTGAGTATTTTCCCATTTTTTAAATTTTAAACTAACAAAGTACCTTCAGGGGTCAAGATTAAACAATCTAAATATTAATAGCTTGAGTATGTTTACACGAAAGCTTTTAAGGGTCACAAACAGAAAGCAGGCTTGTGCAGGTGTGACTTCCGGATTGACTTAAGCAGCTCTAAGCCTGCACGGTGGCTACAAGAGCTAGTCCCATCCTCCCCTCCCCCCTAGCCATACTGTCCTGATACTTTCTTTGTGTTTAGGGTTGTGCATTGTAGCCCACTGAATCAACCATCCTGTTGATCTAATTAAAGATGACAGGACAAATGACCCCTTTGAAGGCAGTGTGATGACAGATCACTATTTTATATATAAATTTATACACATAGATATATGCATATATAGTTATATATACAAAAATTGATATATATGGATAATCTACATTTTCAGTTTCAGATAACAATAAACCTACTATCATACTGTGTGCTGAGTTAAATCTTAGGTATTCACGAAACTGTGCAACCAGTGGCATATCTAGCTGTGACTTTTGTCGGTTTGCCTAACAGAAGGGCACATGCTGTTCTTAAAGTAATAAAACATGCGTCTTAGTTTGAAATGTGTGCAGACATGCCAGTAAGAATATTCTATCATCAAATTTCCTTTGTAACACATTACTGAAGTTAGGCTCTGTCGCCACTAAGACTTTTAAGATGGCTCTAACATCAAGGATAATGATGTACTAGGTCACCATAGTAATGCTCTTAATACTGAGGTAATGTTAAGTATAATGTTTTACCAAGAGCATGAGATATCCTGTGTATATATTACTGGATGTATGACCATGTGTAGTTCATTAATTCATCCGTACACTGAAGCTGTGAGGAGAGAAAAGGATGCGTTTGATGGTTTTATTTTGAGCCCCCTTTCCAAGATGAACTCTCCCATCCATCATGTTGTATTCCTACCAATTCACAGAGTATTACAAAAATTGCCTGAATGTTTACTTGATTTTAATCAACAAAGAGCACTATCTTGCTTGGATCTTTACACAAGCATACTAATTTATACAAGCATGTTAACTACAAACTTCCATGTTACTGCGTAGGGCAATCTCATTGCTCTCTACAACTTCCTGAGGAGGGATGTAGAGAGGGAGGTGCTGATCTCTTCTCCCTTGTATCCAGTGACAGGACATGTGGGAATGGTTCAAAGCTGCACCAGGGGAGGTTTAGACTGGACATTAGGAAGCATTTCTTTACCAAGAGGGTGGTCAAACACTGGAACAAGCTTCCTAGAGAGGCGGTCAGTACCCCAAGCCTGTCAGTGTTTAAGAGGCATTTGGACAATGCCCTTAATAACATGCTTTAACTTCTGGTCAGCCCTGGAGTGGTCAGGCAGCTGGACTAGATGATTGTTGTAGGTCCCTTCCAACTGAAATACGCCATTCTAAAACTGACCTGCCTCTATCTAACAGAGAACACATCAAGAGAGACCTAGCAATAAAGACAAAGGATACAGGTTATAGGCAGCTGAATGATCTGATGTCTAAGGGCTTGCCCACTCCTCCCTCCCTGGTTCCTCCCTCACATTGTTCCCACACGTTCTTCTCCTGCCCTTTCCACTCCTACCTGTTTATCTTGCGCCAACTCCAATAACTGTCAGACCTTGCTATGAACCTCTTAAACTCACTGATGGAGCAGAAAACTGGTTTTGCCGTGTTAGTTTTCTATGACGTTAGAAAGACAGAGTGAGCCTCAGAGGGCTCTGACAAGCTCCAGAAGCAGCACAGTGGAAGCCAATGTTCAGAAGCAGGAAGGGATGTGGGAACACACTCCCCATCTGCCAGCCACGTGCTGTTAAATCACTTCCTATGTCACATGAAAGCATGTGTTCTGGCTGCAGTACCACAAGCAGCTGAGCTAACCAAACAGCTCACTGCTACCAGAAAGGGATTCTCCTTTTCCTCCCCCAGTTCTTCCTTCCTGAACCCATCCTCTCAAAGGGAATATCCAGCAAGGACAAAGAGGATGTTCAATTTGATTTGCTTCTTTTGGTTCTTGGGATGAGGTAACTACACTAAAGTAATGAAATTATGAAACGGAAATCACTGGTTGTGATATCGAATTTTGACATGGAGGCCAATTAAAATCCTGGGATGAGCTCATGGAGATTGGCTTGTGCGTAGCCACACCAGTGACAAAAGCACCATCAATCAGCATTCGCAAAAATGGATTGGAAGCTATGTTTTAAAAGTACTTCAGAAAACACTCCCGCATCACCATGGGCTTGTCCTGGATAATCTACACTGTATTCCAGTTTCAGGTAACAGTAATTCTCCTATCATACTGTATGCTAAGTTAAATGTAGGAAATTCTGATTAGAAACATACAGCTTAAGGAACAAGAATCAATCTCATGCAGTCATTTAAAACATTAACTGCAGTAACTCATTAACTGCCTTCATTAAGAGATGAACCACAGATAGATATATTTACCTCATGTATGTCTTTCATCCAGCTTGCTATACTTTGAAAACTGTCCAGATTTGTGATGTCATATACAAGAACAAAGCCTTGTGCGCCACGAAAATAGCTAGTACTAAGTGTATGGAATCGTTCCTGGCCAGCAGTATCCCTGAAAGAAATTGTAAGAAATCACACACACACAAACAAATAAAAGATCATCAAACTGCAGAACCCCCAAGACAAATCACCTTATTTTAAGGAGTATTGTCCAAATTTTGAATGGTGTACCCTAACATGAAAGGAACAAGAAAATACAAGGATGAGAGAAAATCTGGGTGCCAGATACAGCAAAGAAGTACACTGGAAATTTATTCTGAATAATGCAGCCCTCCTAGGGAAGCTAAACCAGTGGTTGAAGCCTGAGTGTAACTTCAAGCCCACCACTGCTTCTTTATACACATAATCATTAAGATCAGTACAACTCAGGTGATAAAAAAAAATCTGGAGTAGAAGCACTGCAGGAGTCAGATGACATCCCATATTTTGACAAGCCCTTTGTAAACTGTGACACAGACAGTAAGCTGGTTTAGATGGAAGGTAGGTTCTGGAAAAAAGCCATAAAATACAGTGATGCATAGACTCCTACACATAACTATGCCTTAAGAAAGCTGCAAACAAGCCTCCAAGACTTTTGTATTAAAACCTAAGATGGAATAACTGCAGATCTAATACCAGTCAGGTAATTCATGTACAGAGTTACTCCTTGAGAAGTTAAATACTGCTAAATATAGAAAACCTTCAGTATTGGATGCCTGGAGAGATGGCTGTCAGTAGCCCTACACAGCCTTTCGAAAAAGTTCAGAAACAAACAATAGAGTGTAGGTTCCCAAAGATTCATTTTACTAGCTTTCTCTCGGTGACCCTTTTGAACATGCATTTGATGGGTAATAAAATGTAAAATTTTCTTGCTTTGTCACTTCCCTCAATGTTCCTATACAATTAAATATACTTACTATGGATTGTAGATCTGCATTGGTTGTATGCTGCAAGCTAACAATGTTAAAGCAACCTCTTTTTAACTTATATTAGGTTGCTGCAAAAAGTATGCTCCCCTAGGCCAAATTCAAATTTTAAAATGACCTAGTAGGAACAACTGCACTTTAGGAAGACACACAATTAAAAGCAGATGAGATTTTTTCATGCTGCAATGTAATTTAGTTGGCTCTCATTTGTGATATAAATTAAAACTTACCATATTTGAAGTTTCACTCTTGTATCATTAAACATTACTGGCTTTACTTTAAAATCAATGCCTAGAAGAAAGAAGAAAATCTGTAACATTTCTCATAATAACATGGATTCGCTTTGAAGATTGTATCTTAGCTCTAGTTATCATGCAATTTTGAACAGAAAGTGAAAAGGAACTGTATCAAACAAAGAATAACTAGCCAACCATATACATTCAAAGTGGAAGTTGTAAAAGGAAATTATTCAATGGTGAAAACAACTATGTGCCAATACATTACACAAATACAATACAAAGCAATGCCAATACAAAGCAATGGAGGGGCAGGTCAAAGCAAAGGTGCAGATACTCTGAAACTACACGTAGGTATTTCCGTGAACAGGCAAGTGACATGACAGCAGTTTCATGGCCTATGCACAGTAATACTTGGCAAATATACTGGTGATTTCAGTTGTGTCCAGTTTCATCACAACAGCAATGGGGAGGTAGAAACGCTTACAAAGCTGTCACATGCGCAACACCATGTTTCTGTCCTTACTTCCAAATCCCTAAAAAAAAAAAAATCTAGGGTTACATGAACAGGAATAGGAATTAGCTGGACTAGTTAAATGCAAAGACAAACATATGCTGGATTTCATTCAAAATGAAGAGGATCGTCTCTACAGCTTTAATCACTGTATATCCCAGATCCAGAGTGCTAATGCTAAAATCAAGCATTAGCACTTGAAATCAGTGCAGAATGTTGCCTCTACACACACTACAGATCTTTCCTCAAAGATACTTTCCTTATAATTTATAGTGTTTTCCTTTATTATATTATCAAATTAGTACTCCAAATGTGATAGATGACACCTGCATATATGGGCTGTTGAAGCTCCAATCTTAATACTAGAATATTGCTGAAATTTGAAATACTGTTTGGTAATTTCTCTGTTCATTTTTTCCCACTGAAAATCAATAAGGCTATTTTTGTCAATTATATAAAGTGAAGTTAAGGTGACATTGCGACAGCTGGCCATACTGCATGGTCAAATTCCTTATGGTCAAAATATGGCTACTTAACATGACTTCAGAGTGGCTTTTCACCAGTAGTAATGTCATTTGAAAGAACTATACAGAATGAAAAAGCACAAAAATTTTAAATTAATAATACCACTGCACTGATTTCTGTAAGAACCTGTCTGCCAAATTACTTTATCAAAGGAAAGCATCCATGGCAGTAAATCAAAAATGTGATAGAGGAAATGCTCCCTTCCTTTTTACTGATGGATGTATTGTGCACAAAACTTTGACAAGTACACTCTCACATGCATGGTTCCAATGCTATTAACATTTGTGTGTGTATGTGGTAAAAGAGTTTAGGTGGATTTTTAAAATTATTATGATAATCATGTCCCTCACTTAATGAATTTTTATTGAAGCTCCAATGGAAAGGAAAGATGAAATAATATAATTGGTATCTGTAATTAATATTACACAAAGCTTCCTTGATGGAATTAATAATGTCAGATGAAAATGTAATTTAAGTCAAATTTGCTCATGTAAGGTGAAATTCCAACATGATGGAAAACATTTGCTCCTGAAATTCACATGGTATTGTTTAATTATCTGTATCACTTCCTACAATTGATGTTAGAGCAGTTGAGAGGGACAGAGTATGCACTGGGAGGCTGGAATGTCACTTTCAAATGGTGCATTGGGAATGCAGCAAAAAATTATAACCCAGCCAGGGATTCCCAGACCTACAGGAAACAGTTCTTTGTTGACATACATTTTAATAATAAATTGCTATAAGCTTTTTTTTTTTATTTATAAAAAGGGAAGCAGAGTGCTGAATCAGACTAAAACTTAATCTAAATTAAAATAAGACTTATTGACTTTTTAAGTCAACTTCAAAATTTATTGACCTAAAAGGTCAATGAATGTTAGTGAAAAACAGAAGTCAATATGTTCTGCATGCATGAATTGTTCATGTCTTTATATGAAATTTCCAGCAAACTTAGCAAATTGGAAAGACAGAAAAGAAAAATGAGAAATATAATGCCAAAGACAGCTCACAGATTTCAGATGCTTTTAGGCCCATGTATTATACAACATGATCAACATAACAAAACGAGCATTGATTACCGCTCTTGAGATAAATGTTATTTGAATGCAACAGCTTGTACTTGCTTCTTTTAAGCTGTCAAAGAAAAACAAGGAGGAGTATGCTGGGTACAACTTCAAATTCTGGTTGTTATTTCCAAGTTTTATAGCCATGAGATTAATTTATTTTCTTTATATTCCAAATAATAAATATGCCCATATTAGGACTGAGGCACCTTAAAGACAAATTAGGTCTAAAAAGCATCAAAATACTCAGCCACAGGGGGATTCAGCTGTGAATTACCTTTCTCTTCCCTCAATATCTATAAAATAGTCTTTGGCCATCTGCAAAAGTCCTCTTCAAAGAGGTCTTTTGCAGCTGGCCTAGAAAATTACCACACGTTTTTCACCCCAATACAGCTGGCAAGTTCCTGATATAAAAGGCTCAAAAAAAATACGTCTATCCAGAGAAAACGTGAGTTTGAGCAGCTTGGCAGGATGCAACAGCGATAGCATGGACAGAAGGTGGTACATGCCGAGGTGCAGGTTCTTCCTAGCCCACTTACTGCCGTACAGCATCCTCAACTCTGGAAACAGGGAAGCAGTTGGTATCCACTTCTGTGCCCAAGCTGGGCAAGCGCCCAGCGAGATGTTGTGGGTTGAGGTTCCACCATCTTACTCCTACTTAACCCTTCCTAGCTGTTGGTGTATTACTTGAATCAGACTCTTTTCCTGTACACGTCAAGGAATATCTGAAGTGGAATGGTATCTGAGCAGTCACAAGTACCAATAGTTACTGCTTAGGTAAGAAAAGCAACTCATGGGGTAAGATGGTTTGCTAGGAAAGTAAGAGTGACAAAAAATCGTGACATTAAGGAAAAAAAAAAAAATTACTATTAGTGTTGTTAACACAGGACATGTTTACCTTCAATATGATTCAGTTTTGTTGATTAACTCTACTTTATTTCCTTCTAAAAGTGCATATCAGGGAACGTCCACAGACTTCAGAGCCAGTTCTCTTATTCATCACACATTAAATCACTTGAATTTGCAACTTTGCTTTCAATATATATTTTTTTTAAATATAGGCATTAAAAAGCAAAAGTTTCTTTTTGAGGAAAAAGTCAAAACAAAATTAGCCTTTTTTTTTTTTAATCCTGAAGTGGGACTAGCACCACTCTCAGCCATAACAGATTTGGGAGGACTCACACCTCTACAGAAATGTTTCTCACAGAAAATGTGTGCTGTGGGATCACAGCCACCGTAATACAGCAAAATAACAACCTCACAGACTGTGAGATCACAGTCCTGTTCACTCGTGTACAAGGGGGTTTTTTGTTCATAAACTTTCTCTATGGCTTTATATGCAATGCCATTGTTTAAACAAAAACATTTATTCTTTATAGTCTATTCATAATACAATGCATCTGCCTTATGATGCGTATAAGTTTAATTGGAAAACTATAACTGCTTATAATTTACCCAAACTGTGTAATTGAAGAGGAGGAAGGGCACCCAGCCTTGAGTGTTTAAGTGCTGCATAAAAAGCTTTCAAAGAAAATTTACTGCGGATGCCTTCCCTGTTAT